CCCTCAACAACAAAATTGCATAAACGATGAGAAATTGCACAGTAGGTGGAGGCCAAGGTAAGAAAAAAGAGGCAAATAGAGAAAAGATAAGCCAATGAGGTCGAAAAGAGAAAGGCAACACGATGTCAACAGAAGACACAGAACGAATAAAAGAATGAGCACGAAACACAAAACAAAATGAGAATGGAAGAGCCAATTAGCCCAAGAGGTGAACTAGTGAATAACCCTAAAATGCGAAAACAAAGAAACCATTAACGTATAGTCACTCAAACCGCACAGCTTCATGGGTGATTTTGGGTTTTTGGGTCAACCTGAACCCGACTCAATTTTTTAAACGGATTGATTTGTTTAACCCTAACCCAACCCGTATGACAAACGGGTTGACCCGAACCAAGAATTTTCCGGATCAGGTTTTGGGTCGGGTCAAGTCTTGACACCCCTAGTTGAAGTTGAGTCCCCTATTTGCTGAAACGTTTGCTCCCCTGTAAATTTATTTGAGGCTGGATCTCGTTGCATTATTTATTGTGCAATTAGTTTTTTCTTAAAATTTCTTAAGTCCAATTCATTATCTATACGAACTTTCAGTAGCCTCCCAACATCTCCCCCATTTAGGAGAAATTTCAGGAGTCTTAGCCTACCCAACATGCTAGAGAAAGACGTGCATGGACTGATTCGGGTAACACCGCAGTCGTAGTGTTCAATCTCGCCACATTAGAGAAAGCCATGTATAGGTCTTCGGAGGTACCTGTTTGAAAGATTTTTTATTTTTTCCCGTAGACATGATGGCACATACACGGGTACTTAGGGTTGTCCCCGTCATGCTAGAGAAATGAGTGCACAAGGCTCACATGCCTCGCCGTAGGCGTCGTACCGAGTTCTCTCCCTCCACGTTAGAGAAAAGCATGCATATGTGATTTTTCCTGTGCGCCGCGAGCGCAAAAAATAAGATTTGAAGAGTTTTTGAGTTCAAAAAGCATTATACCTTTGCGCGAAGAGGTGACGGTGTTGATGTGTCGAGGTGATGACGACGATGCTAAAATGCACAAATTGTTCGTTCAAAGTTTCTAATTCAATGATGGTGGGTTTAGTGGTCAAATCTAGAAAGATTCCTGAAGTCCGAGGGGAGATTCACTTCTTCTATTAAAGGGAAGGATTTTAGATTTCGTACATCAGAATTGCGACATGGTCAAGAATTTTCTATAAGAGCATCAGGGTGACAAAGTCACCAAACTATATTTCCAAGACAGAGCTATATTTCTACCAAGATCAATTTAGACTCAGATTGCAACTTTCTTTTTTTTTTCCGAAGCTAGAGAGATTCTAAATTTCTTTGTTCTAGTTTTGGCTCAGGTGATGCCAACTTCTTTTGTTAGCACAGTCAATTTCATTGTCTTTCTCCATGAACATAGGGCAACGTAGAGTTTGAATTTCTTCCAAAACATGTTTGCAATAAGGGGATTTAAGAAAGATATTATCTTGTTCTCATCCAAAAGTATTAAGATTAACAGGGTAGAGAAAAGGTTAAAAAGATTAAAAGAACACCTTTTTTAATCAAGTCAACTGAGGATGGCTGATTAGGATTCCACCAGCCAAGATAGCACCGAAGAGGTTGATGATACCAACTCTTTCTATTAAGGGCTGCTAGCACTCTGTGGAGCTTCAGGATTATGTACTTGACGATTAGCATAACTCTTTGGAGAAAATGATCAAGGTGGTACTCACCATTCCAATTAAGCTAGCATATTCTATTATGTTTCATTTTAAAATTTAAACTTTGATTCATTTAAAATTTGAAATTTGTCTACTGAAGTAAATATGGGTACAAGCATTGATGTCGACTTGAGAGCTTTTGGAAATGTCGTAAATTATGTTGAATGTCCCTAGCACGCGATGTCTCTCCCCAATCTTGATAATCATGTGATTCTCCGCTTCCTCTCGTGATTTTCACACTCCTGACCTTCCATCTCACCGTTTAAAGCCAAAGGGAGGGTAGGGCATCACTTATTCTCATTCGTTTGCCTCTCTACAACCACCAAACCTTCCTCTCCACTCTCTCACAGTCGTTGGATGATTTTCTCTCTCTCATAGTTGCCGTCAGAGGAAGTTCTCACCCTTCCATTGAATGCCGACATCAATCCTCCTTTGCAAGAAGTATATCCTCCTCTCCTTCTTCTTATTTTTCAAGTCATTTAGTTAAAAGTTTCTTTTGGGTCTAATGCAAAGTTGGATTAGATTAGTATTGATTTTGTATAACCTTGAATTCATTGTTGGTTGGGCTCTAGCTCATGTGGAAGAAATCATTTTGTTATCATTTTTATTTGAGTAGAATAAACCCTATGTTTTCTCGATTTTCGTCCCTCATTATACATATATTTTGTTAGTTGTAGTATATTTTAGATCAATTAATTCGGATGTCTTCAACAACGTACTTATAATTATTTGTTTTTACTCCTTGTAAGACCCCCTGGTGGATTCAAGTGAATCACAATTGAGGTTGGATTTCGTGGCAACCACGATAAATAGCTGTTATTTATTTGGAGATAAACATACCTTTTCTTCATTAGGGGAACAATATGTGTTATTTTCTTTAAGCGCTTTGATAATTACTTAGATTGTCAGTCCTATCATTATTATGATTTTTTTATATATCTATGCACTCGTGAAGATCTTTTTATGTTCATAATAAATAAAGTTGAATAGATAGGTTTATTTTGATTATAAATGTTCAAATTTCTAAATACAGACTCCTTGTGTAGACTTTTTTTAATACATGCACTTCAATTGATGGTCATAATGTTATCTTTGCAAATCATATCCTATTATGAAATAACAACCTCCATATTGAAAATGTTACACCTATTGAAAAGTGCCAAAATTTACCCCGGAACTTAGTTTGTTAAAACTCCCTCGCTCAGATAAAAAAAAGAAATCGCGCGGCGGGGAGGCCGGGGCCGAATTTTCGGAGCCCACAACATGTCACATGTGTGCAATGGTATGCGGGTCGGGAAACCCTATTAGATATTGGCTAGCCATGTCGATGGGCCCACAGAGTGATGACTCTATAGAAAATCATAGATTTTCTTGGGTTAGTGTTTACATTCCTGGTGAAGGGTACTTGACAGACCGACTATATATATATATATACCTAAGCTAAAAAGCATAAATGACTACTAGGTCATTAAGAGGTATGATGATACCCAACGTGATTATATTTAGAATTACATTATGTGTATAGAGTTTGATATATGCATTGGTTACATTAGCATATCAAAATTATAGTAGAAAACATGGCATATCTCATGGCTACTTTGATTTAGTGAATATAGGTTGTTACTCTCACTTTTTGGATGATCATACTGCATGCCTCATTCCTTTGTCGTTTATGCTTTGATAGATAGGAGCTATTTGTTGAGTTTGATTTATCAAAATCAATTGTTGTTATCTCTTTACAACAAGTCCTACAAATGTGATTAGCGGTTTGTCACCTCAAGAGGAAATTTATCAGTAGTAGACTATATTTTATATTTTATAGCAGATTATTTTGCATTTTGATTTTGAGGTTGGGAAGTTTTATTCATGTTGTTATTTTTTTCACATTATTTTGCTTGTAGTAGCTATATTGATTTGTTGCACTGTTATTTAAATTCATATTAATAAAATTAATATTTACTTTTATTTCTACTATTTACTTTGATATATTTAATTGTATTATTAGTTTATTATCTTTCCTTCTAGTGAGTACAAAATAAAATCTTTTCTCTTTTCATTTCATCATATGTTGCCAAGGTGTACCGTCTTCCGGACCCGGGGTGTGACAGAGAGAGCTGATCTTGGATTGAATTCCAGGGAAAATGCGCCACTATGAGAAAAGTATGGCATTATCCCCATTGAAGTCCGCATTAGGTTAAGTATTAGCTTTTTTACAACGAAGGCAAGGAATATCGCAATCACAAGAGGTGGCTAAGTATGAAAACTTATCTCCAAAGAAGAATTTAAAGAAGCCTAGTAGGGTGCACCTGAGGGTGAGGAATGACAAAGGAAAAGACCTTGTAGTCCATCCTTATAATGCCTTAATGCCTTCTTTCAATTGCAAGGAGGGTAAGACCGTCTTCAATTGAGAGCAAAAAAATCATTGGACTATGATTGGCTTCACTGTGGATCCCTTTTAAGTTAAGGCCAAGTTGAACTTGGCCATCTATGAAATCGATGCCAAAGCATGTTGAGTGTTGGTAGATAAGTTTTTTTTTTCTAGAGAGAAATCACTTGCTACATATGACAATTAAGTAAAGAATTTTTGAACTGTATATAATAAGAGCTATAAGTCTCTTTCAGAAAAGAGAGTCCACTTGCGGAAAAATATCAAAATTGAAAAAGCTCAAGTGACTACAAGAAATGGAAGTTGTGGCAATTTTGAGGGAAAAGTAATTGGAGAGGAGGCTTCTCTTACATGGCAGCGAATCAAATAGAGATGTTGTGACATGAACATGGAAGTGTACAAGAAGCACATGCAAGATCAAGTTCTGAGATCTAGGAACTATCTATGACTATACAAAACATTAAGATGAAATTTTGGAATTAAACATTAATGCTTTGATCATTATGCATTCATGTAGCATATTTGGTGCATCTGTTTCAAATACTCATTACAAACACCATAATTATATGGAGAGAGAGAGAAGGACAATGTGAAAGAGATCACATTACATGAGAAAAACCACCATTATCAAACACTGATGATGACACAGAAGATTAGCATGCAAGTATTTAAGACAATTGTAGCATCATTACAACTGTAAAATGGTGCGTTCATCAGACCATGAAAAAAAGATACTGACAAAACCAGCAAATAGGATGAAGGGTTAGAAACATAGCCTACCGTTCATATGAGATAATTCACATACATCTCAATTTAAAAAAAAAAAAACTTGCCCACTAACATGGATGATATGCAAAAACAAGAAATTATGAAAGAATTTATTTCCCAGGAAATCAAGAAAAACAAAAGAAAATGCATCACCCAAATAAAATGCCTGATTCCAAGCCAGATATAATTTCCTCAACAACTTCATAGTTCATCTGCAAAGGGCCGCCAGAATGTCAGTTTTCTGCTGCAAATATCAAATATAGAGAGAACAAAAACACATGGACTATTTTAGAAAGGATGCACAAAGAGGCCCTGAAACAAAGAAACACTTACAAGTTCCTGATCTTTCCGTTTGCTTTTGTATATGTGAAGCCAAGCATTTAGTAGAACCTGAGTTCAATACAAAAGGTAGATGAGTTGGCTTCAAGCTTATGCTCTATAATGTAGAGTTGAATGTGAAAAGAGAAGACAAGAAAACCACAATGGCACGGTTGTTTATATCTGTTGCAATCGGGAGGGCTTCTAACGATGGGGCAAGAAAACCTAGCACATATCATATTTCTGTTGCAACTAAACATTCTACCATGTTTGATATTCTCAGAAACATAACATCAGGATTAACATTTAAAAATCAGTTAATTTTAGTAATTTCTATCATTAATTTAAAAAATTTACTCATGGAAAATTAAGAGAATGAATGCACATTAAGAGATGCATCCAAGAAAAAACATAAAATGTAAGAAAAATATGTAATGTAAAATGCATAAGCGTAGGCTGTGTTATAGTTTCATTTTCATTGGTATAATGGATTCCACACAATCATATCAGATGCTGACATTCAAAAAAGGATAAGAAACTGTTAGATCGGTCCAGCCGGTCCCCTAGGACCGGCTTGTGCGAAACAGGTGGAGAATATCCGCCACTTGATAGCACACCTAGGCCAAACCGCACTGTTTGGAAGGATTTTTGAGGGAGTTAGGACGGAAATTTAAATGTAGGGACTATTTAGATATTTCCTTTTGGATTGTATGCATTAAATAGTTTATTTTCCTAGGGTCAGGGCATCTCAAATTTGACTGAAATTTCAGATCTCTTAGTTTCTTTGGGCTCTAGCGGCGTCAGAGATTTGGGAGAGAAAGATCCTCATCTCGAATAGAGGATCAACTGTATCTTGCTTTATTTATTCTGTTAGTTTGATTTCTTAAATAAAAATTACTGTTTTGTTGCCTTTTCCATTGGTTTGGGGAGCAAATTGTTGTTTTTGCCTCTATTGATAAGATTTACTTGAAATCGTCAAGTGTTTCCTATCAAATTAGTATCAGAGCAGTTCCTAGGCTAAAAATAAAGTCTTCCTCCCTGATTTCTGCTGCGTTTTCCTCTCCGATCTTACTATTTTTGCTGGATTGGAGGTCAGATTCGTGTCAAACTTATTGATCTTTGCTATTGGAGCCTAAATCCAGGTTCCCATGGCTGGAAGAAAGGTGAAAGTATTGGAAGGTGAGATCGGACAAATAAAATCTAAAATTTCAGATATCCAAACTCAAGTTTAAGATATGAAAAAGGATATTTCATCCATCCATGATAAGTTTGATTAGAAAATTTCAATCCTGGAGGAGATGTTAAAGAAAGTGCTCAAGGGCCAAACTAAAATATCGCCGTCGAAGGTGAGGGAAGGCGCCGAGAGCCAAAGAAGTGTGGAAAACCCTAAGCCGATCAGACAAAGGGAAGATCAAGAGGTGGAGAATTTGGAGGGAACATAAGAAATGCCTCCCCTAGGGCCTATTCCTAGGGAGGAGTCAGGTAAAGGGTACGGGGAGAGGTGTGAGGGGGTTGGGCATGAGTGGAGGGGTGTTGAATTTGAAATAAGCAGGGCTGAATTTGAAAGGCAAGGGCTTAATCATGATTGAAGAGGAGTCAAATTTGAAAGGAGAGGTTTTAAATATGATCGAAGGGGTGCTGAATTTGAAGGAAGAAGGCGAGATTGTGATGAAAGATTTGAGTGCGAGCAGATGAGGGATGATTGGCACAATTGGGGGACCCCCCCTGGAGGAATGGGAAATTATGTAGGAAACAAAGGAAACAGAAGCGATCCGAGGGTAAGAAAACTAAAGATGCTAATCTTTGAGGGGGAGGATGTGTACGGATGGATCTACAAGGTAGAAAGATTTCGCCATCAATGGGTTGACGAAAGAGAAGAGACTGATGATAGAGGGCCTATGTTTGGAAGGTAAGGCTTTGACTTGGTACCTGTGGAGAGACATGCGACAACCCATACAGAGTTGGAAGGAGTTCAAGGATTGCTTATTAGAATGTTTACGAAGTAGCAAGAAAGGAGAACTCTACGAGCAATTCTTCGCCTTGACATAGGATGGGTTAGTGATGAAGTACCATGCGAGATTCAAGTATCTTGCTATCCAGTTGGATCGCCTTCCTGAGACAGTGCTAGAGGAAAATTTTATGAAGGGACTGACACCAAAAATCTGGGCATCGATTAGAGTATTGAGGCCACGTGACTTGGTTGGGGGTATGGAGCTAGCTCAATTGGTGGAGGATCAGAGGAATCTAGAGATAGAGATGGGAGGCAACAGCTCAAGAGGTCAAAATAGGAGGACCACCACCTTTTTGGCATCCAAGGAGCCAACACTGGGTATTTTATGGGAGATTCCGAAGGAGAAGACTATAGGAGTAAAGCCGGGGGGAAACTTCAAGCTCAAATAAATGGAATTATAGAAGAATGGGGAGAAGGGAATCTGTTTCAGAAGTGATGAGAGGTATATGCTGGGGCACAGCTGTAAGGACCGAACTCTTCAGGATCTTACCATTTGTGATGACAAGGGAATGGAGGAAGGTGTTGTCTTTTCACTTTTCGGACAAGGTTGATATTTGGGAGGGGAGTATTGTTAAACCAATCCATTGGATCGGCCCGTGCGAAACATGCGGAGAATGTCCGCCTCCTATACGTACCGATCGCACGCCCAGGCCAAGTCGCATTGTTTTGAAGGATTTTTGAGGGAGTTAGGATAGAAATTTAAATGTAGGACCTGTTTAGATATTTCCATTTGGATTGTATGCATTAAATAGTTTATTTTCCTAGGGTTAGGGCATCTCGAATTTGACTGAAATTTGAGATCTCTTAGTTTCTTTGGGCTCTAGCGGCGTCAGAGATTTGGGAGAGAAAGATCCTCCTCTCGAATAGAGGATCAATTGTATCTTGCTTTATTTCTTCCTTTAGTTTGATTTCTTAAATAAAAATTACAGTTATGTTGCCTTTTCCATTGGATTTGGGGAGGAAATTGTTGTTTTTAACTCTATTGATAAGATATACTTGAAATCTTCAAGTGTTTCCTATCAAATTAGTATCAGAGCAGTTTCCTAGGCTAAAATTAAAGTCTTCCACCTTGATTTATGCTGCATTTTCGTCTCCGATCTTGCTGTTTTTGTTGTTTGGGAGGCCAAATTAGTGTCAAACTTGTAGATCTTGGCTATTGGAGCCTAAATCAAGGTTCTCATGGCTGGAAGAAAGATGAAAGTATTGGAAGGTGAGATCGGACAAATAAAATCTGAAATTTCATATCTCCAAACTCAAGTTTAAGATATGAAAAAGGATATTTCATCCATCCATGATAAGTTTGATTAGAAAATTTCAATCCTGGAGGAGATGTTAAAGAAAGTGCTCGAGGGCCAAACTAAAATATCGCCGTCGAAGGTGAGGGAAGGCGCCGATAGCCAAGGAAGTGTGGAAAACCTAAGCTGATCAGACAAAGGGAAGATCAAGAGGTGGAGAATTTGGAGGGAACATAAAAAATGCCTCCCCTAAGGCCTATTCCTAAGGAGTCAAGTAGAGAATTATGGGGAGAGGCGTGAGGGGCTTGGGTATGAGTGTTGAATTTGAAAGAAGCGGGCCTGAATTTGAAAGGCAAGGACTTAATCATGATCGAAGAGGTGTCAAATTTGAAAGGAGAGGTTTTAAATATGATCGAAGGGGTTTTGAATTTGAAGGAATAAGGTGAGGTGATGAAAGGTTTGAGTGCGAGAGGATGAGGGATGATTTGCACAATTGGGGGACCTCCCCTAGAGGAATGGGAAATTATGTAGGAAACAAAGGCGATCCGAGGAACTGAAGATGCAATTTTTGAGGGAGAGGATGTACATGGGTGGAGCTACAAGGTAGAAAGATTTCGCAATCAATGGGTTGACGGAAGAGACGAGGCTGATGATAGCGGGCCTATGTTTGGAAGGTAAGGCTTTGACTTAGTAGCAGTGGAGAGACATGCGACGACCCATACAGAGTTGGAGGGAGTTCAAGGATTGCTTGGTAGAATGTTTACGAATGGGGAAGGGAGGAGACTTCTACGAGCAATTCTTCACCTTGACATAAGATGGGTCAGTGATGGAGTACCGTGAGAGATTTAAGTATCTTGCTAGCCGATTGGATCGCCTTCCTGAGACAGTGCTAGAGAAAAAATTTATGAAGGGACTGATGCCAGAAATTTGGGCATCGATTAGAGTAATGAGGCCTCGTTACTTGGGAGAGGCTATTGAGCTAGCTCAATTGGTGGAGGATCAAAGGCATCTAGAGATAGAGATGGGAGGCATTAGCCCAGGAGGTCCAAATAGGAGGACCACCACCTTTTTGGCCCCCAAGGAGCCAACACAGAGTACTCTTCGAGAGATTCCGAAGGAGAAGACTGTAGGAGTAAAGACGGGGGCAACTTCAAGAAGCTCAAATAAACGAAATTATGGGAGAAAGAGGAGAAGGGAATCTATTTCAGAAGTGATGAGAGGTATATGCTGGGGCACAGGGGTAAGTACCAAACTCTTCAGGTTCTTACCATTTGTGATGACAAGTGAATGGCGGAAGGTGTTGTCTTTTCACTTTTCAGACAAGGTGGATCTTTGGGAGGGGAGTATTGTTAGACCAATCCATTGGACCGGCCCGTGCGAAACAGGCGGAGAATGTCCGCCTCCTATACGTACCAATCAAACGCCCAGGCCAAACCGCACTGTTTTGGAAGGATTTTTGAGGGAATTAGGAGGGAAATTTTAATGTAGGGACTATTTAGAGATTTCCTTTTAGATTGTATGCATTAAATAGTTTGTTTTCCTAGGGTTAGGGCATCTTGAATTTGGCTGAAATTTCATCTCTTATTTTTTTTGGGCTCTAACGGCGTCTAGAGATTTGGGAGAGAAAGATCCTCCTCTCAAATAAAGGATCAATTGTATCTTGCTTTATTTCTTCCGTTAGTTTGATTTCTTCAATAAAAATTATTGTTTTGTTGCCTTTTCCTTTGGTTTTGCGGAGCAAATTGCTATTTTTGCCTCTATTGATAGGATTTACTTGAAATCTTCAAGTGTTTCCTATCATAAACATCATGAAAACTCATTGATAG